GGGTCATCAATTTTTGAAGTCCACAAAAATTAAGTAAATCTCTAAATCCATGATGAAAAATGTGCTAATTCAATAACGTGTAATGTAATATTTGATTTTTTCGGTAGGCCTAACTATTAAAAGTAGAGTCCAGAAAGTGTTGAAAAATAAGTATATCTTAACACAGGCGTAGCGATGGGGGGGGGGGGGGGCAGGGGGGACATATGTCCCCGGGCGCCGACCTTAGGGGGCGCCGAAATGGGTTGGAAAAAGTAATCGAAAGTTTGAGGGGGGGGGGCTGAAAATCGAAAGTTTGAGGGGGGTGTAAATCGAAGGTTTGAGGGGAGGGGTTGCAAATCAAAAGTTTGAGGGGGGGAGGGGTGCAAATCAAAAGTTTGAGGGGAGGGGTGCAAATCGAAAGTTTGTCCCCGGGCGCCGTGAAGGGTCGCTACGCCTCTGTATCTTAAACGACTTAGCGTAAGTTAGGCCCTATACGATAAGCGCTTGGTTCATTTAAATGTTGTTGGTTTTTTTTTTCCATACCGAGCAAAAACTGCAAGGTATTGCAGTTGATAAATATTTATTTTGTAAACAAAATTAGATCTTCGTCTTAGACTTTGACACAAAATAATGACGTAGGCCTACTATGGTTTGGTTCCACGATCTATCAGGGCCTAGGTCTAACTGTTTTTAAACTTACGTTTTCAATAGCCTGAATTATTTTAGAAAATTGACATTGACCCCCCCCCCCCCCAGCTCCCCCCCCCCCACCACAGTCCAAACGCGTTCACAATTGTCGCTTTTTAACGCCTCCCCCCCCCCCACCCCCACCCCCAACCTCCAGCGTGTGCACGTCATAAATGGATGGCCCCCTTAATGTTTTTGCTTTTCACCAGGATGAGGATTGTTGGTCAAAGGGACGTAATCATATTTTATTTCTAGCACAGCACTAATTTAAGTTTAAAGATATTTTAAAATATATTTGAATTAAGTCAATCAGTTTTATCTGTAACACAACTAAAAGCAAATGCTTTGTTTTACTCAGTCTAAAATTATTTGGGTAAACACTTTTATTACAGACCAACAAGCGGGCTTGCTAAAACTAATTAAAAAATACAATCTTAACTTTTACTAGTTTTACATCTGATTCGAAAATCGTTGATGTAAAATAGTCGATCTTTTTAATTCATTTAATATTGTTGACATGAAATAAATTCATTTCAAATTCCCCCCCCCCCCCCCCCGTCCCCCGTCCCTTCAGCCAACCACGCCGAGGGGAAAAAAAATCCATTGAACCATCATTTAATTACACATTTGCGTTTTCAGTTTCAAGTTGGGTTTTTTTTTAAATGTTTTTAAATTTTTAATATTTTTTTTTATTTAGACGTTTTGTATTAGATCTATGTATAAGTAAACCATCTTAAATGAATGAAAGTAGGCTACAAGTAAGAAAGAAATATTACTATTGTAAATCTGTATCAGTCCTCACAAGCCGATGATGAAAACTGTAATACTAAAGCGAACACACACAACTGACGCTGTAATTACATGTCTGAGGCAAAAAAAAAAAAAAAATATTGTTGACATGAATTTTAAAAACTCAATTTTATATTATGCCATCAACTAGACCGTAAACAATGTTTTATATTTGTAAGCCTGTTAATATTTTTAAAATCGATTTTATAATAGCTGAAAAACCAGAGAAAATATTTTGTGTTTAAGACATTTAATATTTATTTTCATCAAGCCTAAATTATGACCCGAAGTTTCACTTTAGTAAGACGAACATTGAATGGATCTACAGTGATCCTGTGTCGATCTTTTGTAAACCAAACTTTACACTAATTTCTTCTCAAAATTTGGCCATACCATTTTTTAATATTGCGTTTTTAGATCACATGATCTAGTTCTGTCATTTTTTTTTTTTACCTTTTCTGCGATAAAACAACCATACTTGCTTTTTTATTTATTTATTTATTTTTAAATTATGTTTAGTTGCCAAAAAATACTAAAACATCAAATACATCCAATCGTAAGTTAAGTTCGACCAAAAAAAACCTGTAGGAATACTGATATTGATATAGCTGTTTGAAAGGGAAGAATGTTGGATTTGACGTGTCTCATTTTACTTTCATGTGAGCCTTGCTTGCTTATAATAAATGCTATTGTTTTCATTTAATCCTAAATTTATTTTAGCTCTACTTAAAAGCTAAGACCCACCTACCCCTCCTCCAACGCAATAAAAGAAAAGAAAATCTAACTGAGCGAGGCCATGTTTTCAAGTATTAATCTAATTGTTTTTAAAAGCTTTTTCGTATATTATGCTAACAAATTTCTAGCTTTGAATAAACACAACACTTTTTTTTTAATTTAAGCCTTTTCATCCATGTTTTCTATTTTTATTCAGTTGTAAATCCTATAAAACCTACGTTATTTGAACTTTGGAGACGACATGGCCTAGTTGGTGAGTGCTAGACTGCTAACCCGAAAGTATCGAGTTCGAATACGGTGCAATCAGTAGTAGGTCAAAGAGTCTACCCTTTGAAACAAATTAAGCAGAGCACAGTGCTGACCAAATTATCCCTTCATATGCCGAGGTCATTGAAACAGATGAACTCTACTTCATTTGCCCCATGTGTCTTGGGCACAAACGGGAAAAGATGTTTCTTTGTATTGTCTAGATGCTATTTCCAGCAACCACAAAATTGTAATAGCTATTGTAGGATGTACCACGGTCTAGATAAACTACTATCCTGTGTGTTTCTTGAGTAGCTTCAACAATTATCTGCTCAAGTTTTTACATAAATGGTTAATTTATTACAACTTAGACAGTTTCCTTTTTAGTTATACATATCTGTACAAATGTATACATTAAGTGTTAGCTGATTGTGCATTAAACAGGACCCGTTGAATGTACAATTAAATGATAAACATAACATGATTACAAATTTGAAATTTCACATTCTAAGGTTTAATATATATTAGGATGTGCGGAGTTTTCAGTTAAAAACTGCAAAATAGATGCTATTTTAATATTGTAAGCTGAACGTTTTTCAGTAGAATAAGAATCATTTGCTGGTAACATATATGTTACACTACATTACACCATTCAAAAACAAATAAGAAACTCCTAGCTCATTTTACGTCATTATAAAAGAAGATATTGACATAGATTTGCCTAACACTTTGGTCATTGATAGGGCTTTGGTAAATAAACAAAACTTAGCGCAACAAATATATTGGTAGCGTTTAAAGTAGTTTTTGTTGTCTACAATAGTGCACACTATTTCGGCCTCCTCCATCAAGCTACGCCGCCAAGACTACCTGGGTCGACCCCTGCGTCGCCATGTCTTCCTGGTTCGACCCCTGCGTCGCCATGTCTTCCTGGTTCGACCCCTGCGTCGCCATGTCTTCCTGTTTTGACCCCTGCGTCGCTTGCCCTGGGGGATCTACTCCAGGGCCTGTCTGACGCTATAGCCAGTTGCTTAACGATTCCTAAGTAGTGTGCACAAAATCGTTAACATTAAGATCAGATGTAGATCATGTTCGTCTAACCGGACCACGAAGTTGATCAAAGTCCCAATATAAAAAAAAGTAAAACATCCATGGCCTCCCACACAGAGGCGTAGCGAGGGGGGGGTACATATGTCCCCGGGCGCAGACCTTAGGGGGCGCCAAAATGGGTAGGAAAAACTAATTGAAAGTTTGAGGGGGGAGGGTGCAAGTAGAAAGTTTGAGAGGGGGGGGGGTGCAAATTGCAAATTGAAAGGTTGCTCCCGGGCGCCGCGAAGGTTCGCTACGCCTCTGCTCCCACATACGAGAAAAGCTTACCTCACACCTTATGAACTTTGTAGTTTCTGTTGTAACTTGAGTTATCCCCTCACTCATTCTCCCATCACAAGCCTTATTGGAGCTTAGAGTGCTTTTTGCCTTAGAGAGTTTCATGCAAAAAAAAAAAATTGTTGACACTGAACACATTCTTCTATTTTCTGAAATTAATGAAACTAAAACAGATTGTCTTTCGTATTTTCTGCACTTCTAGATATATAATTTCTGCTTTAACGGTGTCGTAAAAAGCCTACGTGTTATAAATATGTGAGTGACTACAGTTTACAGTAATCAAAACACAACTTGTATGATAACTTGTATGACAAGATACACACCCTAAGTAGATTACCAATGCAATTGCTAATGCTAACACACAAAGCATGCTGGTGAGAACACCACATACTAATTATAATTACTGTTGCGTAAGTGGCAAGAGTGATTTATTTTCTAGACTATAATTGCGTATAAAAAGAATTAAATTGTTTTAAAAATCCAAAACACATTACGAATTGTGAAAACTGTGTATTTAATGGAATAAAATCAACTATGCATTAATTTTATATCACGAACGAGGGATAAATATATTCATTTAAAAATTATATAAATATATAAAACTGTAGATGTGATTGATAAAGAAATTTGTTAAAACGTTTTACAAATAAAAACACATAAATGAACATTAAATGTTTACGATAAACGTAGCGTATGAACGATGTGAATATTTGAATTGCCGTTTACTAGTAATTGATTTGATGGGTAGCTATAGTAAATGAGCGTAGTAATGTTTGTAAACGCATTAGATAGTTTTTCCACAAATAATTACATTTAAAAAAAAATACAATGCTAAGCAATGCAAAAGACAACATTCTTAAATCTTTACGAAACACTTAATTGAGAGAACAATCAGGTCTCGATAAATCGGAGGCGTGGTTAAATAAGAAGTGGCTATTATTTTGTATTATTGTTGAAAGTCTACAGACAAAGTAATCAACGCTTGTTATGAAAGGAAAAAAATTAAAGTGGGTAAAATTATGCAAGTCTTTCTATATTAAAACTCGAAAAATTTCGTGTTTACATTCGCGATGAATATTTTTTAGCGAAGTATTTTTCGCACAGAGAATGAAATAGTACGGATAGAAGAAAAAAAATCAAGTAATTTTTATCAAGAGAAAACACAGAGAAAAACGTCAGACATGGCTGCTATTATGGACCTATTACTGGCACCCACGTCCTCTATGCAGGATAACGTCACAACGCTCAGCACAGTTATCTGCCTTTGTCGTGGAGTTATCTGCCTTGTAGGGGTCATAGGTAACTCTGTGACCATCCGGACATTCGTCGCCATGGGTCTAAAAGACGGGGTGACCCTGTCTTTCTTGTTTCTCTCCGTCTGTGACCTTTTCTTTCTTATATTTGAAGGAGCAGCATCGGTCTCCTGTGCATTTGAATGCGTTGAGTTGAACACCAATTATAAAACTTACTTTCCTGTAGATCCTTACAGCGTCGATTTTTATTTGTTGCTGTGTGCAAGCGAATTCTATCACTGTGCGATGATAACTATGATATTCCTTGCCATCGCTCGTTGCCTAAGCGTGGCTACGCCGATGTGGTTTAGAAACAAAATAGGAAAAAAATCAACTTTCTTTGTTTCTATATCAACAACAGCCCCCTTTGTTGTTGCTATTGAGATTCCTACCTTCGCCTTTATGGGGATTATACCCCAACACGATAAAAACATTAACACAACCAGGCCATCATTCTGGACATCACCTACGTGGCATTTAATGACAAATGTCATTTGGACAATCACTGGAATGTTTCTAAACTACATAGTTCAAATAATACTGCTCATCTCTGCCATCACCATGAAAATCGTGCTCACTAAAGCTGTGAAATTTCGCCAACAACACACCTTATTATGTGATGCTGGAGGGTCATTCACCACACACACGAACAACAGCAACGGCACAAATAACGTCACCCAAACACAGAACAAACTCCAGCTCACCAGCAAGGAGATCAGGATAACCCAGCAGTTGTTTGTTCTCTCCCTTGCTTACATCATCAGCAACACGCCGAGAGTCTGTTTCCACACGCCATTACTTGTCTATCCCGAGCTCTCCATCTTTGGAAAGCACGGAAGATTATTCGAGGCCATTGACGTCATCGTACACACGTGTCAGTGTGTATTTTGTTGCGGTAATGTCCTCATCTATTTAAAATTCAACTCCAGATTCCGTGAATTGTTTTTGAAAAACTTAACTTTACTTCAAAACGATAATGCATAAAATATTTCTTTAAGATGATTTTGAATGCACAAATACAGAAGAAATTTCCTTTTCTTAAGAACTAACCTGAAGGGGGCATTGCTGCAGACCTCACAATCAGTGTTTCTTCCAGACTTTTTTCTCCGGGGGGGGGGGCACTTGAAATTTTCGGGGGGGGGGCGGTTGAATTTCTCCGGGGGGGGGGGGGGCGGACACTGTGAAAAGTATATATTTTCTATATAAATTATATAAATTACATTTCGTTCGGGAGGGGGGGGGGGGGCGGTAGAATCCCCCCCCCCCCCCCCCCCCCGCCGAAGAGATGCCTGGAAGAAACTCTGATCAAAATGGCGCTTTGATTAAATTAAACTTAATTAATGTTGTCATATTGTTGCGAGCCGTATGTTGTTGAAATTGTATACATGTTAATAATGTTTGAAAAATGTCGCAATTATCCAAAAAAGTATGTCAGTTCTCTTCTCTATTTATTTTTAATATTTTAATGTAATGCCATGTTAGAATAATGCTCTTATGTCCTCTTTTTAAAAAAAAAAACAACAGTTATACCCCCTTATCGTACATGATGTTTTCATACTGCATCAAAATGAAAGCACTCGATACTGTCCTCATCATCATTTTTTTCCTTTTAGTGCCCAAAACACAAGGGGCGGACGTCAGAGAAAGCTCCCTAATCTGTACCCCACCTTCTAGTAACCGAGCGATTCTCTGGGATATAATTCTATCAACACGTTAATTTTAATTTACGTTTAATTTCAAAATTTTAAGTTTAATATTTCAGGCACTGAAGCTTTCCGTAAGAATAAATTCACGATAACAAGTATTAATATTACAGTATCCAAATTCAAAATTCATGTTGATGAATTATTGTTAAATTAAAATCTAAAAGACGAAATACTTTTTAATGTTGATGTTTATGATTGGATTGATCTTAAAGTAAGAGCGCAAATTGAAAAAAGAGCACTACAAATAAAGCGTAACAGGGACTTTTTAACTTAATATTTTATCTAAAGCTTATGTGTCATGTTTTACAATACATATGTATTTTAATTTTACTCTCATAAATGTTTATTATTCAACATTTTGTAGTTAACCAAAAAATATTATTTTGAATAAGGTACTTAAAATGTAGCCCATTTTTAAAAAAAAATATGTTGTAGTCATCGATTGCTGCATTGTTTTAATTTTAACAGTTTAATTTTGAGTTTCCTCCCTTGGATATTTTGTGCGCTGAAAATATAGAGGGGAGGTAACTCCCTCTTGAGTGAAACCTCGATGTGTGTTATTAATGTTTGTTAATGTCGCTAACTATACGTGTTATATTTTATTCCCGACAAAATTGGGAATCGGGTGTTTTAGTCGGTTGTCTCGAATTTCGTCGACTGGGGATAATGTCCTTCAGGGCGAGGTAATCAGCTTCGAAATATATGGCCCGCAAGTGAGAGACATTGAAGTATTTTAGCAACGCATATGGCACGACTAATAGAGGGGGGGGGGGGTGGGAGAGATACGTTGGTAACTTGTGATGGATAAGTTGGTGGGTGGTTAGTAGATGGGTGGTGATGGATAACTTGGGGGGGGTGGTTAGTAGATGGGTGGTGATGGATAGGTTGGTGGGTGGTTAGTAAATGGGTGGTTAGTAGATGGGTGGTGATGGATAAGTTGGGGGGGTGGTTAGTAGATGGGTGGTGATGGATAAGTTGGTTGGTGGTTAGTAGATGGGTGGTGATAGATAAGTAGATGGGTGGTTAGTAGATGGGTGGTGATGGATAAGTAGATGGGTGGTTAGTAGATGGGTGGTGATGGATAAGTAGATGGGTGGTGATGGATAAGTAGATGGGTGGTGATGGATAAGTTGGTGGGTGGTTAGTAGATGGGTGGTTAGTAGATGGGTGGTGATGGATAAGTTGGGGGGTGGTTAGTAGATGGGTGGTTAGTAGATGGGTGGTGATGGATAACTTGGTGGGTGGTTAGTAGATGGGTGGTGATGGATAAGTTGGTTGGTGGTTAGTAGATGGGTGGTGATGGATAAGTTGGGGGGGAGGGGTGGTTAGTAGATGGGTGGTGATGGATAAGTTGGTTGGTGGTTAGTAGATGGGTGGTGATAGATAAGTAGATGGGTGGTTAGTAGATGGGTGGTGATGGATAACTTGGTGGGTGGTTAGTAGATGGGTGGTGATGGATAAGTTGGTGGGTGGTTAGTAGATGGGTGGTGATGGATAACTTGGTGGGTGGTTAGTAGATGGGTGGTGATGGATAAGTTGGTGGGTGGTTAGTGGATGGGTGGTGATGGATAACTTGGTGGGTGGTTAGTAGATGGGTGGTGATGGATAACTTGGTGGGTGGTTAGTGGATGGGTGGTGATGGATAAGTTGGTGGGTGGTTAGTGGATGGGTGGTGATGGATAACTTGGTGGGTGGTTAGTAGATGGGTGGTGATGGATAACTTGGTGGGTGGTTAGTAGATGGGTGGTGATGGATAACTTGGTGGGTGGTTAGTAGATGGGTGGTGATGGATAACTTGGTGGGTGGTTAGTAGATGGGTGGTGATGGATAACTTGGTGGGTGGTTAGTAGATGGGTGGTGATGGATAACTTGGTGGGTGGTTAGTAGATGGGTGGTGATGGATAACTTGGTGGGTGGTGAGAAATTTGTAGTAGGTAATTAAGTAGATGATGGTGGATAAGTTTGTGGGTGTTGTGTCGTGATTTGGTGTTTGGTGAATTGGTGTGTCGTGAGTTGGTGGGTGGTGGGTTGGTGGGTGGCGGGTTGGTGAGTTGGTGGGTGATGAATTGGTGGGTTGGTGGGTGGTGTGTCGTGAGTTGGTGGGTGATGAATTGGTGGGTTGGTGGGTGGCGGGTTGGTGGGTGGTGGGTTGGTGAGTTGGTGGGTGGTGGGTTGGCGTGTCGTGAATTGGTGAGTGGTGAGTTGGTGGGTTGGTGGGTGGTGAATTGGAGGGTGGTGTGTTGGTGGCGGTAGACGGATTGAACGAGAACAACACATGCGTGACGAATGCGAAAGAAATACGACAAATACTTAACAAACTATAGTCTACAAAATTGGCAAACTTTCAAACGAATTCCAAAAATTATTGTTTAACTTTAAATAGCCTACAAAGATGAGTGGATAGCACGTTCATGTATTGACGAAATTACCGCGTGGTTACAAGACTACCAAAATATAGAGGTGGGGAAAAGGGCCAAAATTATTATTGGAGCCCAACGTTCTTGTCCACCGAAGCTGATGCGCCTTTTCGTGAGACGTTGGGCCCCATTTGTCTAAATAAAACTGAATGGTCTTGGCTCCACAAGAAGGGCCCCCGTGTTCACCTAACTTCTGTTGGCCTTGGCCCGAGCCTGGGGCCTATTTGTGTCTACCTAACCCTTATACGTTGTTGGTTTTGCTAGTAATGTATTTTTTAAGTTGTGATGTATATCGAATTTAGCTCTATTTTCCACTGAAAATGAGTTATGTTTTAAAGTGCGTTGGTTGAAATTAAGATCCAGTAAATTTAATCTACCTGATATTTTATGAGGGCTTAACATCAAACAATAAAGTCACCCCCTCCCCCCAGTCACCCACACATACAACATCACCCACACATACAACAAGATCACCCACACATACAAAAATATCACCCACACATACAACAACATCACAATTTCCATCTGAGAGTATCATTGTGAGTTTATTAAACATTTCACGATGAGATTTTTAACATTATTTTGTTTTTGTGATGTACTCCATTATTTTCTAGATGTGATTTTCTTGTGATTTTTTTTTTAAATTTGGTTGTCAAAAAAGGCTAACTGAGAATCAAGGAACTCCACTTGGGCTGGCCAATCTTGTCGTCCGGTGCTCGTTTGGTCAGTCTTTGTTATGTGATGGGGGGGGGGGGGGTCAAGATATAGGTTTTGTTTAGAGTTGATGTCTAGTGGTGTTAATCAACACTGACGTTTAAGAAAATGTAAGCGTTCATCTAATTTTTTTTTCATTCCAAAGCTAGATGTCTAAGAAAGTTTTTACTTGCTTTGTTTAATTTCGGATGAAGTTTCTTTTCTTTTTTTTTTTTTCTTAATTTTGTTGAAAGTCTTTTTAAATTAAGACTCTTTTATTTTTAAACACACAAAAAATACTTACCTCTATGTATAGCTTAGTATGTGAAGAGTTTTGTCAAATGTTATGAAAGGGTGTTTATGCGTATTCTACTTGTAAGGGGCATCATTACTAAAAAGGCGATTTTAATTCATGGATTATTTCCCTTCAACCATATTTATCTTGATTAAATAGACGGAAAGGGGTCGTTCATAAATTATGTCACACTCGTAGGGGGAGGGGGGGGCCGTAATTTTGTGACGGTGTGTGCTGAGGGGGAGTGATGGGTTCAGATGGTGTGACGTCACATTTTTGCATTATAAAAATGCAACGTTAGGAAACGAATTTTAGCCGTTGTTTTGCGTTTTAGAAAACTGTTTTAATAAATTTGAATAAGAATTGATTAAAATACTCTATGGTAACAGAGTTCAGACAAGATTTTGGTAAAATATAGTATTTTAAGAAAAATTCAACTGCAATTTTGAGGAGGGGGGGGGGGGGGTAGGCAGAGGCTGTGGTGTCATTTTTTGTGACGATGTGTGATGGAGGGGTGGGGGGAGGTAAAAATCGTCAAAAAAAAGCGCGACTTTATTTATCGATGACCCGTAAGACCATTTTATATGTTTTTTGGAAACACACATACTCTCTCTCTCTCTCTCTCTCTCTCACACACACACACACACACACATACGCATCTCTTCCTTGCTAAACTAGTGTTTGACTTGAGTGCAGATAGTCTCGAAACTAAAACAAAATTTGACTAAATATTTCTGGCAAATTAAAACGGGAACCAATGTCATTGACAACGTTACTTGAACAAGAAAAGAAAATAGAAATATTCCATAAGACAGTAAATAATATGTATATACCTATGCTTAGGTTTCGGGTAGCGGGGTAGAAGAATTTATC